TGCACAGAGATGCACAAAACACAGAGGAGATACGCATGCAGGAATGGGCCAAAATACCACCAACAGTGTGTGACAACCTTGTGAAGACTTAGAAAAAGTGTTTGTTATTTACCCAATGACAGCAGCCAAAGTATTGAGTATCTTGACCACAGCCTGAAGCGCAGAATACGGAATGCAGAATATCAGCAGGGGGACAAATTTAGACAGAATGTCATGCGTCTGTGACAGTGTGTGTGTCCTGTCATTGTTACCTGATTGATGATGCGCCCTGGCTAGTAGAACAGGGTAGATCCCCGTTTGGCGGACTGGTTAGCAGTGGCGGCTGGCCAGTAGAGGGCGATAGGGCGCCGCCCTCCCAGTTTTTCCGTGTTTTTAATTTTTATTTAAAAAAATAAATAAATAAAATTAACAATAATCACATATTCTAAGTTAATTGTGTGTTTTGTAACAAAAATAAATCATATATATATATCTATATCTATATTGCTCTCTGCCGGTCTCTGCCGAGCGGTGGAGGCTGTGTGCTGTTTTTCAATCGCCCAAACAGGACGAGACCAGCTGTCCAATTGCTGACAAGAATATCAAAGGGTAGGAATGGGAATGTATCCAATCAGCGTCGACGTTGTTTCAGAACGTTTCAGAAGCATGATGGGCGATGGAGCTACCGCCAAAGGTTTCGTTGGTGTTCGGTAGAACTCGGCAGAGTCGTTTTTGGTCGTGACGCAGATGTAACATGGACGCCGCCAGTGACTACAACCAGTATGGATACCGGATCTCAGCAGCCACTGAAATCAGTTCAGTCCCTTCTCCAGTATCCGTTCGAGAGGAGAACTATGGTGGAAAAACTTAATGTCAAAGAGCTTGGACCAGATCAGCCTGACGTAAAGATAAGCCAGCAGGAGAAGGAGAGAGGTAAACTGTACACACGAGGCTTCTCCCAAAATTGGTACACCAGGAAGCAGTGGCTAGCTGGATGAAATCACGCTAATGCGTTATTTTGCTTTCCGTGTTTGTTATTCAAAACGGCTGGGACAGATAAGGCATGGATGAGTCAGGAGTTACAGACATGAAACAATTTTCTGAGAAGGTGAAGAAACACGAGTCATCCCGGGCACACATGGACAACAACACGGTGAAGCTAGCCATGCTAGGCAGCAGAGCTAACGTTGCCATGCAGGGAGAACAGCAGCAGCTGGGTGCAGAGGTAAGCTGTACATTACATTTCTGTGAACAAGACAATCAGAATCAGAAATCCTTGGTTGTCCCACAAACTGGGACATTTGTTTAATAACATGTTTAATGTGCAATAACTGTAAAAACTAATTTCAACACACATACTTATTATACATATTTAATCACGTAAATGTGTATTTCATGTAAATTTGTACATACATCAATCTGATTCCATTTTACTTGTTACACTTCTGCTGCAGCAAACAAATTTCCCAGCTTTTGGGACAATAAAACATTTCTGATTCTCAATTAGATGTTTTTACCTCAAATGTAAAAACATCTGATTGAGAATCAGAAATGTTTTATTGTCCCAAAAACTGGGAAATATGACATTTGTAAGAGGATACTGATGACATTATTTCCTATGAAAGTGTTTCCTATGTACTTATCTGTTGTTTTTTATTTATCATATGACAGGTTTTTCACACCATCCTGAGCCATGCAAAAGAAGATTCTTGTCACCACACCCATGACCACAGCCGAATCAGAAAGGTGCTTTTCTACTTTAAAGAGGATTAAGACTTTCCTTGAGAAACACCATGACATTGGATGGGCTGAATGCTCTTGCCATGCTCTCCATGGAAAAAAAAGCTTGTCACAAACATTCCTGACTTCAATAAAAAGCTCATCGAGAGCTTTGCCACTCAGAAGGACAGAAGGGCAAAATTTCTGTACAAATGAGGTATCACACACACACAAATGCATCCACTTGATCTTTGTATAAAGTTGACCTTGGCACAACACTCCAGAAATATTTAACAGTGTAAATTTCTGGCATTTTGTCTAAGTAGTGTTTACTACCATTACTGTAACAGTGACCTGCTCGTAATTTTTGGTGTTCACTCAAATGTTGAAATTAAACAAAATGTTTTTGTTACTTGCCTCTTGCATTGCCTATTTACCATTTATGGTAGTGTTATTTTATGTGCAATTTAATGCAGTATTTTTCAACCTTGGTCCACAAGGCAGCGTGCCAATAGTCAGACACACCTGGATTAATCAATTTGTCCAATGATGTAAGACAGGAAATAAAAGAGCTGTGCTTAATTCAGGAAATAGTGAAGTTGTGCACAAAGCTCAGAAAGCACAAGTTTGTTTAAAAAAAAAAATAGCACAGCCCCACTAAAAATATTTTTCACCAGCCGCCACTGCTGGTTAGTGTGTGTGACTTTCACCTGGGAGTTTTGGGATCAAATCCCGATTGGACCATTTTTTAAATATCTGCCACAGATCTCTCTGAAGAATTCACAACATTGACGGCCTCAGCAACGGTGTGCCACTCCGTGGATTTTCTCTTATTTGCTTGGAAAAGCACTTCCTTTCATTTCTCCACCTCACCCACAAGTACCTAGATTTCTGCTTCTGTGAAATTGCGTTTCCTTGATCTGCCTTGATCTACTGTAGCCATCGTCATTGGCGGAGCGCTGCAACAGCCGGCTTATGTATATGCATGAGATCCACAAGGCACTTTGTATTGACTATTCATGGCAGAACGTGGGTGTGGGTGAGGGCGGGATGTGACTAATGCCTGATTCATGCTTCTCTGTCAGCACCGCAAGGGACAGACACGCGCGGATTGACGGAAGCGTTTTGCTCTCATACTTCTCCGTCTCCTGGGGAGTGTTGCAAAGCAATTCCCCGGCAGGACAACAGAGGGCGTAACGCTGTTCTGTGGTATCCTGTCATGTACCCGGTCCAAGATAGTGTGTTTATATTGTGTTTTTTGTATATAAGAAACTTTTTGACACTGACAAATTTGTCTCTCATTCTCCTCCACCTCTTCCTGGGCTCTCCACCTCTAAACCCACATTTCCTGTCATTTCCATCAACAAATAAAACGCTTGCTGTGTATCTTTTTACTCCTCCAGTCACGGGGGAATTAAACATTCATATTTTAGAGTTTTTTCACGAGGTATTCTTCAAGCTTCTCCGTGTCTGCCGCTAGTTATTCTTGACTCTCTTTATGTTTTTGAGGGCGCAATGGCAGCGGTGTAGACAACAGCGGCATCCTGGCCAGTCACAAGCTTGCGTTCTCCGTCTCGACGAACGGATGTTTTAAAAAGTGGGCTCAACTCCGCACATACTTGCGTGCCTGCCGGGGCCCAACGCAAGGATGGATAATGGCGTTGCGTGTCTCCGCACTGACGCAGACGGAGAAGCATGACTCAGGCTTAAAATGCAGCTGAGAAACATTCTCCTTAGTCTCCGATTTATGAAGCGGCGATTGCGTGCAACTGTGCGTACTCCATGTTTGCTAGATCACAAATCTACTTGGCGTAAGTAAATTTATTTTTTGCTGAGCTTAAGTACGGTTTTTGTATGCAATGATTTATAAATGAAACCCCAGATCTTAATTCTGTAACCTTAAAGGGACTTAATTCTGTAACCTAAAGGGACCTTAAACGGACTTTTGAATTTTTATGCTCGCGATTGCCCCCTCAGGCCAAAAGCGTAACGGCAGCTTCAATAGTAGACTAGTGCACGAGGCACGCATGCTGTACGTGCACACTCCTTAACGAAAATAACAGCTGAGACAGTCCCGTGTGTGTGTGTGTGTGTGTGTGTGTGTGTGTGTGTGTGTGTGTGTGTGTGTGTGTGTGGCCTGGAGGACAGAGGACAGGAGAACGCACAGCTAATTAATTAAATAATTTGGTTCTGTACCTTTCTCTTCAGCACAGCCGACAAAGGTTTAAGATGGGTCAGTCCTCCTGCATGCTCAGATCATTCCCTTCCCTTGCTTGAAAAATTGTTCCAAAATGAAAGTTGACCCACATCTTTTTTATCTGTGAATTCAATGCCATTCGGCGAGTCTCAAATAAAAATTTGGGCATCTTACTATAAAAAAATATACTTTAAAAAGAAACTCTAAATGAACTATGTTCACACCCAGTATTGAACCCAGGTCTTCTGCATGGGAGTCAGGCATCTTACAAGGTGAGCTGCACTCTAGTAACTTTCACAGTATTTGTGACTTTTATATCCTTGATGACACCTGAAACAATGTCAAACCAAAGAACGGTTCGAAGCGAAAATGGCTATTTTTTTGCTAATTTGCAGGAAATATCTAGAAGAAAGTTCTACAGAATGTAGCTAAGGGTCCGCAGAAATGTAGCTAGGTTCATCACTAGGCGTTAGGAACAGCTACAAACTCGCTGAGTTGGCACAACCTCTCTCTCTGCTGCTAAATCTACGGATAGCAAATAGTACGGGCTATGACTGAGCGTGAATGCGCATGAAGCAGCCTGCTCGACCCAAGCAGCTCTCTTTTTCTGTGATTTTACAGAAAAACAGACAATCACAGTAAAAATGCCAGGGCTCATTCTACAGGACCAGGGCATTGCAGGAGAATGTATGAAGAAGAAATTTATTATTTCTATACATGTTTTGGCTGTCAAACTTCCATAATGCCCCTTTAAATTAGGACACTGTTGCTTTTCAAACTGACATCTAATCTAGTACTGTTAAGTGATGACGTTATATAAAAAAACTGTTCAAAATGTCTGTTTTAAACCAAAAATGTTTCATTTGCTAAATATATTGTTGTTTGTCTGCTTATACATGAATATCAGTATTGTTGCTTTTTGTTAATGCTTGAAATCTCAGTAGATTTTAAAGGATTGGCAGAACATCAAATAAAAATAACACAAGAAGCTCAAGAAAAAAGTAACTGATAATAAATAAAAATTTTGTAATAAGAACCAACACATTCATCTTTCCTGTCAGCAATCAGGATTGTTAAAAAGTTCCTCAATCAAGACATCTTAGAAAATTTTCAATTATTTTATTGGTAATAATAAACAACAAATGTTACACTTTTCATAAAAAAAACTATTATGGGACGTAAATCAATCCATGATCTCATAGATCAGTGCTACTCTAGACATAATATAACAACACATTCTCACTCCCAGCGCGTCAAAAACAAAAGATTGGTCAGCCACCCTCCGCATCAGACCCCTGACGCCAAAAGTGCCCTTTTTCGTCACTTAAGTGCGAAAAGGGGTTTTTCCCTTTTCTGACTGCAGATCCCAATGCAGCGTAAAACTGACACGATGGGATGTCCGCAGCCAGGGCACCAAACAAGCTCATTGTACCTCACCCTAACCTTATCCTCTTGTTATTTAACCTTCCCCTCACCCCTATCCTAACCTTAACCATCTTGCTAGCTAACACATTAGTTATGTGTCGGTCGCTCTAAAAGCCGGCTCTATGAAGTGAACGGCGGGAGCCGCCTCATCATTGGTCGTGTTTGGACCGAGGCAACGCGAGAGGAGGTTTCAACTACCAAGGTGGACGTTAAAAGTAGAGGGTATTTGTAACACCCCCCTCGCCAGATGGTATGTTCTAACGTTCCCCTTGGGCGGCAAATACGAAAATTCACAGTCAGAATGCATGGAGAGTAATGTTTTAGGTAGCAAGAGGGTTAACGTTAGGATGAGGGTGAGGGGAAGGTTATAAATAGCAAAACGTTAAGGTTTAGGTGCGGTTAAATGAGCTGGTTTGGTGCCGCATCAGCAGACATCCCATCGCGTCAGTTTCACGCTGCATTGGGATCTGCAGTCAGAAAAGGGAAAATCCCCTTTTCGCACATAAGTGATGAAAAAGGCAATGTGTTGAATATAATGGTGATCTCTAAAGTAACATCTAACAATGACATCTCATCCATTTTAAAGGTGACAGAACTCAGTACGAATAAACTAGCCCTAAAAGAAAATCATCAAATAAGCATGCACTCACATTCATGATGTTGAGATTTTGTTCAATATGCTTGTATTCTTGTCCAGATTAAGACTAAGAGTTGGGGACTGATTGGACAGTGGGACTTACACAGGAAAGGCCACAATTTGACGGACAGCACTTCAGCTCATTGCTACAGTCGTTATCATGTTTGCAGTGATCAAAACAGCGGGTGCGCCACACATAATCGGGACATTCTCCTGGCTTTACTGAAACACAAAAGCATTCGGTCAGTTTCTAACCTACAGCTGTGTGGGAGGACTAATTGAAACATTTTACTACTTTAATCGTGTCTCACTTGGTTTTGAAGACATGCACAAGTGTCCACACCAAGTAGCGCAGCACTTTTCACCAAATCGGCAGTCGCTGTCAGAATAACAGTCCTGATCACAAATCGGCATCTGATTTACGTTGATCGGACACCCTAGTGTAGCTGAGAGGAAAGAGAAGACAAAGAAAGTTCACACTTTATAAAACTGAACACTAAAATGCGGACTAATTGTTTCTAAAGAAAAAAGTAACATCTTATTTAGGTATGTAGTGCTTCTCACTTGAAACTGGGGGGGCACAGACAGCTCCGTAGCTGTACACGCAACATTTATCATCACATTCACAGTCTCTGTCAAATCTACATGCTTTTCCTGGCACGATGGGATTAAAGACTCTTGGACAGTTACCTGGTTTAAGACAGAGGTGTAATAAACGTTAATGAAAGAATCAGGTCAACATCTTAGGTAAATAACCCGAAAAAAATCTCAACACATTTGAGAAAACTTACCACGTTTTGGCATGATTGAGTTGGAGGACAAAAAGACACAAAACCCTAAAATCAGGCCAGCTACCGTGGACCAGTGAGTCCTCATGTTGACTTATCTCAATCAGGAATCTGCTCCTGGTGTCCTATTTGGAAAAACATCCTGGTTTATAAACTTTAACCAGAGCAGCCCAGGGAATTCTGGGTCCTTGTGTCGGTAGGGTTGCTTATGTAAACAAGTCACTGGTGCACTCATTCAAACTTGACTTCAGCTTTTAAAAATGTTTTTTTACTAATAAAAAAAGAAAAAGGTAACAAAAACATTAAATTAGAAGCATACATGTGAGTTTCTTCTAGTATTTCAAAATATTGAAGACAAGATAAGACTTTATTGATCCCACACCGAGGACATTTGTGTATTACCACATCTCAGGACAGATCGCAAAAAAAGTACAAGACTAAACAAGAATACAAAATAAAACAAGACAATTCACTATATACAACAATAGATCCTATGTACACACAGTAAGGACTATGGATAGAGGGTTGTGAAACAAAGTGCAAGTAATAATAAATATACCCTTGCAGCGGGGTTGTACCAGTATGGCTGAAGGAGCTACTTAGCACACCCACCGACTCGTGCAGAGGGAGGTGTGGGTCAGCTTAGCTAACATCCTCCTCTCTCCCACCACCACAGACCTCCACAACAGTTTGTCAATCCTGCTCCTGTCCCTGTCCGTGCATCCGCTGCCCCAGCAGGCCACTGCATAGAAAATGTTGGATGCTACCACCGTATTATTAAATGTCCTTGACAGGGCCCTGCATACACTGAAAAACCTCAATATCTTTAACAGGTAGGGTTGACGCTGGTCCTTCTTACACAGGGCGTTTGTATTTGTGGCCCAGTACATTTTATTGTTGAGGTACTTCTAAGAGTCCACCATCTCAATGTCTTTTCCCTGGGTGCTCAACATTTTCTTTTTCTTTTCTTTTTCTATTTTTGGGGGGGGGGGGGGGGGGGGGGACTTCCTCCTGAAGTCTATGACCATATTTGTCTGTTTTGTTTGTGTGTGTTATATTAGAACTGTGGATTATATTTTAATGAATGTAAATAAATGTATCCAAATCAATGTATAGCATGCAATATATATATATATATATGTATATATATATATATATATATATATATATATATATATATATATATATATATGTATGTATATATATATATATATATATATATATATATATATATATATATATATATATATATATGTATGTATGTATATATATATATATATATATATATATATATATATATATATATATATATATATATATATATATATATATATGTATATTGGTGGGACTTGGGAAAAGTGTGTCTCCGTTTGAGACTCTATGACTAGTTCATATATATATATTAGTGTTTGATCCTAGTAGAAATTGAAATATACTGAAGAAATTTTATGATAAATCATTGAACTAATAATAGAGTCCCAAACAGAGAAACACTTTTCCCAAGTCCCACAAACTTGCTGATAAATAGAAATTTTAGCTGTTTTGCCTTTTGCCTAAATCCAAAGAAAACATCACAGCATCTCAAATACTTGATTTAATTTAGTATCCTTCAGTCCAGCACTTTAGGTATTTAACTAAACCTTTGATACATTTTCATACAAGTGCATAAAGTTATGATATAAACACTTATTATGGACCTATGTAAGTTGATGAAAGACCACGTCTGGTTCTCTGTGAGGAGAGATTAGGATAGACAGTCTAAGACTGTTTCTACTTAAATTCAAGAATTCAGGGAAAGGGTTGGCAGTTCCATCCCAAGCCCCTGGAGGCCACATATTGAAGTGTCCTTGGGAATGATACTGAATCCTGACAAATGCTCACTGGGTGCTGTACACATAGCAGCACACTGCCCCTCAAGGATAAATCAGCAGTAGAGAAGAACTTCCTCAAAGGACAAACAATGTACATAAAACTGATGTTATAAAAAAGCCATTTTACACCATTGGCCTTACATGAAAAGTACAAAGAAGGAAACATGCAAAGAAAAAAAAAAGGAAATTGTTTTTATTCAGTAAATCTGATCAGCCATATGTTGGAAAAAGAAGTATGTACGTCTGGTACGGATCAAAAAACAGGCATCACACAGGAAAAACCACATGGTGTTGGACAGCACTTCAGCTCATTGGGGCAGCTGCTGTCAACTCGGCAGTGTTCAACACAACGGGGGGCGAACAAGTTAGTGGGGCAGTTTCCTGGTTTCACTAAAACACAAGCACAAAATCATTTGGTCACTTTGTACCCCACAGCAGAATGTGAAGTGATGTGCATATCTTACTCATTTCTTGTGACAAGCAAATGTGTCCACATCCATCATAGCAGCACTTTTCACCAGGTGGACAATCACTGTCATCAGTGCAATGCTCAGCACATATGTACATCACTCCAGGAATGACTGGACATCGTGGCGATGCTGATAGAGAAGAAATTGTCTGATAATGTGATTTTGAGGCTGAGAGTGTTACTCTACATAAGACGGTCTAGGTAATAATCTCACAGGTCTGGTTTACTAAAATGTTTTGTAAGGGCTATTTGAGGAAGAATAATCGGTTCTTACTTTGTACAGGAGACACACAGGTAAACAGATCGTTAAGAAAACAACATTTTTCATCTACAGGACAGTCACCATCAAAGTTGCAAGGTGGTCTTGGTGACAGTGGCATGGTGACAATCGAATCACTGGGACAGTTACCTGGTTTTAGAGAAGGGTTGGATAGATATAAGTGTAAGTGGATGGCTACCAGCATGGTTAAATAAACAAAAACCACAAACAAAAGTGCATAAATAACTCACCAGGTTTGGGCATAATGGAGTTAGATGACAAAACAACACAAAACCCTAAAATCAGGGCAGCTAATGTAGACCAGTGTGTCCTCATGTTAACTAATCTCTATCAGGGATCAACTCTTGTGATCTGGGTTGGAAAAATATCCTGCTTTATAAATTGCAACCTGAGCAGCCCAGATGATTCTGGGTCCTTGTGTCTGTAGAGTTACTTATGTAAACAAAACAGTTATCCATCCATCCATTTTTTTCAACCCATTTTTCAACGCAGGGTCGCAGCGGGGCTGGTGCCTATCTCCAGCTGTCTTTGGGCAAACATGCGGGTTGCACCCTGGACAGACGGCCTATCCATCTCAGGGCAACATAGAGACACACAGGACAAAAAACATGCACACACACATAAGGACAATTTGGAGCAACCAGTCAACCTGACTATCATATTTTTGGACTGTGGGAGGAAGCCGGAGTACCTGGTGGGAACCTATGCGTGCACAGGGAGAACATGCAAACTCTTTTCAGAAAGACCCGAGGGCCAGGATGTGAATCCAAGACTCCCTTGCTGCAAGGCAACAGCACATTTGTGGCACACCTGACAAATCAGTTAAATGTATTTAAATACGTTGTGAACTTAATTGTAATTGTAAAATATTGTGAAGTCAGTTTTTCTATTAAAAATATTAAAATGATAAATGAACTCCTAAACTAAGAATGACTATTTCTGATCTTCACCAACTTGCTGATAAAAGGATCATTGTGCTGTTTAACCTTTTGTCTAAATCTAAAGAAAACATTTCAGTATCTCAAAAACATGATTTGTACTTTTTTTATTTCAGCACTTAAAGGTTTCAATTATAGTTTTGCTCAATTTTTTTTATGGAATTGTCCAAATTGGTGAAAGCTAACTGAGTCTGGTTCAGGACAAAATTACCTTTCTCTTTGTGATGGGAGATTATGTATGACGGGGGGTCTAACTCAAATTCACACTGTGTCAAAATGAAAGACTGGGACAAAGTCCAAACTCAATATTTATTCAAAATTTGACGGCAAATGTGCACATCTCCAGATATGTACTGGTAAAACTTTTCATTTGGAAACAAACTTACTTTGCATAAACAATTTGGAATAACCTAATTACACACAAGCAAGTAAATTAAAAAAAAAACAACACAAACCTGATTCTGAAATCAGTGGTATTCTTTACTTAGTAAGTCTGCATATCTATCTTTTTATTTATTAAAATGTGTTCATGTCCAGCATTTTTGAAGTTTTAATCTTTGATTATTTAGAATCTTTGCAACTAAGCATGGAGCGTTTGAGCAGCTACGGCGCAGGGTTGGCTCAGTAAGATAAAAACTGCTGCGGCCAAAGAGTCATACTCTGACTTGAGCGTGTCACTACACTGGAGTTCAATCCACTTCATCTGGAGGTACATTGGTGCTCTTTCAACCACGAACAGATTACTGAACAGTTACAATCTTGGCTTCTGGACTTCATATTTTCAGTTTGTCTGAGACTGAGGAGATTAAGGCTGCAGGTGTCGAAACTGGTCGCATGGACGCTAATGACTGTAAACAGAAAGCAGGGGGCACTTTGACTGGTGTGCTATTGCTAAAAAGCACTATGGGATCTGTAGTATGTGTAGCGAATGTGCCAGCAGGCCAGTTCTAAAATACATTTAATATATGATCTCACAGACCAAATATAAATAAACAATGGGCCAGATTTGGCCCAAGGACTTCAGATTGACACCTATGGATTATGATATCTAGTTTAAGACATTTGCTATTTGAATGTTGTTGTTTGTATTAAAAAGGAAAAGTTACACTGAAAAAGCTGTTTTACCAAACTAAACTTAAAGGAATATTACAAAAAAGTAAACACACATAATTATAGTATAACACTTTTATTTTCCGGTGCAGATCAAAAAATAGGCTCCACACATTTAAAGCCACAGATTGTAGGACAACACTTCAGCTCATTGGAACAGCTGCTGTCACCTCGGCAGTGATCAAAACAACGGAGGGAAAACAGAACAATGGGACAGCTTCCTGGTTTCACTGAAACACAAACACTAAATCATGTTATACCCCGTGCAGCAGAATGTGGAATTATCAATGTGTTCATATCTTACCCAGTTCATGTGACAAGCAAACGTGTCCACATCCGTTGTCGCAGCATTTTTCACCAAATGGACAATCACTGTCAGAAGAGCACATTTCACCACAAATGGGCATTACTCCTGGAATGATTGGACACCGTGGTGTTGCTGATGGAAAAAAGAAAGCTATAAATGCTGAAATTTCTCTGAGTTAGAAAACTATGTACATTTGAAGCTGATATTGTTTAGGAAAGTAAATATTCTCAAAGATCCTGTTTACTAAAATGTTTTGTAACAGCTATTTGAGGAGGCATAGGTGCTTCTTACTTGGAACAGGAGACACACAGGTACGTTGATGGTTAAAGAAACAGCATTTTTCATCTTCAGGACAGTCATTGTCAAAGTTGCAAGGTGGTCTTGGTGGAAGTGGCATGATGAAAGGCACATCTCTGGGACAGTTACCTGGTAGAGGAGGATTGGGCAGATTAATGTAAGTGGACGGCTACCAGCATGGTTAAATAAACAAAAACCACAAACAAAAGTGCGTAAATAACTCACCAGGTTTAGGCATGATGGAGTTAGATGACAAAACAACACAAAACCCTAAAATCAGGGCAGCTAATGTAGACCAGTGTGTCCTCATGTTAACTAATCTCTATCAGGGATCAACTCTTGTGATCTGGGTTGGAAAAATATCCTGCTTTATAAATTGCAACCTGAGCAGCCCAGATGATTCTGGGTCCTTGTGTCTGTAGAGTTACTTATGTAAACAAAACAGTTATCCATCCATCCATTTTTTTCAACTCACTTCTCAACGCAGGGTCGCAGCGGGGCTGGTGCCTATCTCCAGCTGTCTTTGGGCAAACATGCGGGTTGCACCCTGGACAGACGGCCTATCCATCTCAGGGCAACATAGAGACACACAGGACAAAAAACATGCACACACACATAAGGACAATTTGGAGAAACCAGTCAACCTGACTATCATATTTTTGGACTGTGGGAGGATATCGGAGTACCTGGTGGGAACCTATGCGTGCACAGGGAGAACATGCAAACTTTGCAGAAAGACCCAAGGGCCAGGATGTGAACCCAAGACTCGCTTGCTGCAAGGCAACAGCACATTTGCGGCACACCTGACAAATCAGTTAAATGTATTTAAATACTTTGTGAACTTAATTGTAATTGTAAAATATTGTGAAGGAGGAGAGCATGCACGTGCGCTCACGGCCCGATCACCGGACACACGGAGGCGTTTGAAGCAGATGGCAGCTTGTTCATCAACTTCCACAAACAATTAAGATGCATTTTCACCTAATTTACTCACTGACAACGCAAAAAAATTTATAAATCTGGTAAATATAACTCACTCAACCTGGAGGTAAGTGGAGAAAATTTAGAAAGTTTGCACATATACATTACGAGGTTTTTGAGTTTTTGTCATGGGACCGAAGAGAGCAGCAGCAGCTGACACGGAAACACCTGGGACCAAGAGGACCCGTCCCCAGGACTCGCCCGAGGCCTCATCTCCCCAAAAGGATGTCTTAGATGTCCATAGATAAACAACTTCTGGGATTTGAGGGGCGACTCCACTTACTAGAGGTGCTTCACAAGGAGTTCCAGGACCTCCGAACATCTCTGGAGTTTAGCCAGGAGCAGGTGGAGCAGCTCGCGGGCTGAGAACACGTCTCTGCGGGAATCGGTTTCCTCCTTGACTGCAAGATTAGATCGGATCTCCCAGGACAACAAAGTTCTAAAGGAGACGGTTCTGGATCTCCAATCACACAGCATGAGAGACAACCTGGTGTTCACAGGCCTTCCAGAGCAGACCGGAGGAGAAGCGGAGGATTGCGAGCAAACCATCAAGAACTTTCTCCACACCCACATGAAGATACCTGAGGAAACGGTTAAAAACATCACCTTTCATTGGGTACATCGCCTTGGAGCCATGAGAACAGACAGCAGAAGACCTCGTCCCATCGTGGCTAAATTTGAGCACTTTAAGCAGAAAGATCTTGTTAAAAGCCGCGGGAGGGAGCTTAAAGGTAAAGACTACAGAGTTAATGATCTGTTTCCTAAAGAAATTCTGGATCGCCGCCGAGTTCTCTTCCCGCTGCGTAAGAAGTTCATCCAGGATGGGAAGCAGGCTGTGATCTCCGTAGATAAACTGTTTGTTGACGGTAAGATCTACAAAGAACGAGGAGTAACAGACTGGCTTTATTAGACAAACATCAGGTACAACTTTATTATTATTAACAGCACTCACTGGGTTTCATGATCTGCGTCTGCCCCTTCCCTCATGTATCTCCTTGTGTTCTCCATCCGTGTCTAGGTTCTCCTGTTGTGTATCCTAGTGCCCTCTTGTGTCATTGTCTACGTCTTCCTCATGTTTTCCCAGAGCTGCAGCCCCTCTAGGTTTCCTTCTGCCCCCAAGTATTTCCATCCAGGTCCTGTGCTCCCCGTGGTCCTCCTTAGTCATGCCCCTGTAGTGTCTCTTTCTGTAGTGTTTTCCTTTAGTTTCAGCTGTTCATCTATTAGTCTCTGTGACAGACACTGTCATTTTCTGGCCACTAGAGGGCCTCAGTACTCTGCCTGCACAGCTGCAGGCTGTTGGATTTATTGAGCCTCCCTGTTAAAAGGGAGCTCTTGGAGATATTCTCGGAGAGCGTTTGTGGTTCCAAGTTATGGCTATAGCGAGAGTTACAGGACGCAAGGGTTATTGTCCGTGTATACAGTGGAAATGTTGGCATTGTTATGAGCACTGGAATGGGTAGGGAGGAATATGCATAAGAATACATTAATTTGCTCTGATTCTAAATCGGTGTTGCAGAGTTTGGAGAGTAGGAATACAAGTCGTCTGGATATTTTGGACAGGATCCTGAGGCAGTATTCACAGATTGAACAACAAGACAGATCAGTGATCTGTTTGTGGGTGTCAGGGCATGTGGGTATACAGGGTAGTGAGGAAGCGGATGAGAGGGCGAAGGAGGCAAGGAGAAGGGAGAGTGTGGAGGTGGAAGTGAAGTTGGGGAAGAAAGAGGTGAAGGCTATGGTGTGGGATAGGGTAATGGGTGAGTGGCAGAGGAGGTGGAGGGACGAAAAGAGAGGGAGGTTTCTTTATGGGGTGGTGGACGATGTTCTTAACGGTCGTTTCTGTGTGGGGAAGTGTAGGAAAGTGCAATCGGTGTTGAATCGGGTTCTTTTAGGGCACACTTATTTGAATAGCACGCTTAGGTTGATGGGGAGGCACTCTACGGGTTTATGAGAGCATTGTCTGGTGGAGGAGGATGTTAATCACGTTATTTTTATTTGTCCTTTGTATGGGGACCAAAGGTTGTGGGTGATGGAGAGGTTGGGTAGGGAAGGCGGAGCACTGAATTTGAGGACTTTGTTCGTTAACATAGGCTTTCTTTGGGGATTCCTTAAAGATTCAGGTCTGAAAGATAGACTGTAAACTCTGATCCACACTCCGGAACAGTAGGGGCGGTGATGCACCTTTCAGTTGGTTACCGGCCGCCGTAAAACTCTAAGAAGAAGAAGTATTCTGGGAGAGACATCAGTTCGGCGTTGGCATGGAGGTGTTAACTCTCTTCTCTCTCTCTCCTTGTTCAAGACGTTATACCTGAGTGGTACTTCCAGTTTCATTACCTGAGTTGTATTTATTATTTTGACACCTTAGTGGTTCTAGTTCGTTACCTGAGTGGTATTTCTTTGTTTTGCAGCCTGAGTGGTATTTTTGGTTATATTAATAGTAGATCGTGTGTCCGCATTTAATGAGAGATTTTGCTCACCCTTTTGGTGTTGATTTTGTGTTATTTTGTGTAGCTTCATTTCCAGCCCTTTTGCGCTGCGCTTTCAGTTTGTTAGGATTAATTTTATTAGTTAGAAATCCCTTTTGTTATTTATTCCCAGTTTTGGATGACATTTTTGTTTTTTTTTCAGCCCAGAGTGCTGCTTGTTTTAATAAACTTCCTTCTAAGAGTTTTAAAATTAGTTTGTTTCATTCCTGTACATATTTTCTTTACTCCCTTAATATCCTTCGTGCTAGCGAAGCCAAGGGACGTAAAAGTCTCTTTTGGTGTGTTTCTTTCCCCGGATTATTAGTTAGTTATTTTGCTTTTAGTGTGTTTCTTTCCCCAGATTGTTAGTTAGTTATTTTGCTCTTCTTGTTTTTAGGTTCTGTCTTAGATCATGTTATTTTTCTTCCTCCTCAACTCACTGCCCTCTCCCTGATTAGTAATTGAGTTCACCTGTTCTCTCTCTCCCCACACACCTGCAGTTCATCTCCCTCTCATCCTCCCCAGTGTATATAACCCTGTCTGTGTCACTATATGTTTGTTGGTCCATTGTTTTCTGTCAGTCTCGTCTTGTTTTGGATCTCTAGTGTTTCCAGTGTTTCTTGAGTCTCTAGTGTTTTTTGGATCTCCAGTTCAGTATTTGGAATTTTTTGGTTTTTGGCTTCCTGCCCTTTGGATTTTTTTTTTGTTTGTTTTGGTTCATCCTCAAATAAAAGGATTTTACTTAATCTCCACTCCTGCCTCGTGTCGTCCTGGGTTCTGCATTTTGGGTCCTAACCTCCTCCTGGCTCGTATCGTGACACTGGGTTTGAACATGTCAGGATTTATAGCTGCTAGATCCGTTTAGAAATGTTCACCTGTTCCCTCACCACCTCACACCCATGACACTTTTTCTTTTCTTTCTTCTTTTGTCCTTTTCTTAACCTTTATAATTCCTTTCTTTCCCTTTTTTAATCTGCTTCTGGGTCTTTACATCTGCATGGCACAATTTTTTTTCCCTCTTTACACACACACGCACACACACGCACACACGCACAGTCACACGGATAAGTAGCCTAAGGTGTTTCATTGCAAAACACTGTTGGGCTTGTCTTGTTATTGTTATTGTTATTATTATTATTATTATTTTTTTTTGTTTATTATTATTTATTCATATTTTATCATTGTCAGCATTAATATTTTTATATTAATAGTGTATAAAATAATAATAAAAATAATTTTTTGCTACTATTTTTTCAATTAATGTTGCAAATGATAATAATAATTATAATAATACCCTTATTATTTACTCTCTATTATTTACTATAAGATTAATGTATGCGTTTGATTATTTATTTTATCTCATACACATGAAGGCGTGCTACTCACACACACATCTATGGGTGCACTAAGGTTTGTCTCATGGAAAGTACATGGAGCTGGCTCCAGAGATAAGAGATAAAAAAAATTTGATCAGTTAAAAAGAGTGCAAGCAGACGTAATATTATCACAAGAGACTCATAGATCTGCCACATCTGCAGATGAACTTAAAACACCTGAGTTTCCCAGCATGTTCTCTGCATGCTATAACTCTAGGCAAAGGGGTGTAGCTATTTTAATACACAAAAACATCAATTTCACAGTATTGGACACAATTTCAGATCTAGTGGGTAGATTTATAATGTTAAAAATATCTATACAGAACCAAAGCTTTTTTATCGTCAGCATATACTGTCCAAATATTGATGACCCTCCATTCTTTCATAATTTTTTCTTTGTACTCTCCGAACACTTGGACTGTCCACTTATACTTGGAGGTGATTTTAAATTTTGGATGGACACTTTAACAGACAGGCTCTGTACAGCTGGGACTCAACGCAATTGGCAATCCACTAATATTGTTAAACAGTACATAAGTGATTATGGGCTTTGTGATGCATGGCGATCTCTTCATCCTAACCGTAGAGAGTATACTTTTTTCTCACACGTCCATCACTCTCATTCACGATTGGATTATATTCTAGTTAGCAGCTCATTGTTGGCTGACATTTCAGACACTGAGACACACCCCATAGCTGTCAGCGACCATGCTCCGGTTTCGTTAACTCTGGTAAACAAGAAGACAATCCCACCAAACAAAAAGTGGAGGTTTAATACATCACTGCTTAAAGACGAAGGTTTTATTGATTTTTTTAAAAAAGGAGTGGGCTTTATATTTAGAACATAACAACCTGCCTGGAACATCAGCATCTGTTCTCTGGGAGGCAGGAAAGGCAGTGATGAGAGGTAAAATAATCTCTTTCTCATCAAAAAAACAGAAAACAAACGCATTCAGGAGTTAGAAGAAATCATTAAGTCTTTAGAGGCATCCACAGAAGAAGAGTTACTGAGCAAATTACGTGAAGCTAAATTAGAACTTCATGGAATTATTGACAAAATGACACAATTTTTAGCACAAAGACTACGAATAGAAAACTTTGAACATAGTAATAAATCAGGTAAATTTTTAGCTAGCCAGTTAAAAATTAATAGAGAAAACTACCATATCTGCTGTTAAAGACTCAACCGGGAATATAGTTTATCACCCTGAAAGAATAAACAACACTTTCAAAGACTTTTACCAAACTTTGTACTCACCACAGATAAACCCATCAGATAACGAGATCAATGAATTCCTTGACAGGATAACACTTCCTAAATTATCAGACAGCCAAGTTACAGTCCTGGACTCGCCACTAACCTCAGCTGAGCTCCAGGAAGCCCTTAAATCCATGACTAAAGCCGGGCATACACTGTGCGACTTTTTCACTTTTTTGAGCCGATTTTCCAGTCGTGCGAGAATCCATGACATCGGGGCGAGTTTTGCGCCGAGCGGTCGTGTAGTGTACAGGGGGTTACGAGAGGCGATTAACACCACGTGACCAGCTGCCGATCAGCAGTCGTGAGGTCGCACGGACTTCTGGCGTGTTTAATATTTCGCTCGTCCCTCGTGAGGGTATCGCACTGTTGAAGCGGCGCTGCGAGCAGCTGCGACCCAAAAAGTATCAGAACCGCTCACTGCGCATGCGCAATCCTGCATCAACGCCGCTCGCTATTTCCCTAATAACACACGCTGTTCGTTTTTGTTTCTACACGTTTTTTTTTACTCACAAAGATTGTCAAGAAAGCGTGTTTGTCGTGTTCATGTCAAATTAAACTGATCACAAAACACAGATTTATTTTCTTTATTTCGTTTTCCTCATCCAACCCCCATAAATCCCTGTGTGTCCTGCAGCACTCCCGAAGGACAACAGGCAAGACAAGACAAAAAAGTCTGACGTGTTGAGTAAAAACTGCTATTTTTAGCATATTTTTAGGGCCGACGTGTTGCTACCAGACGTACAGTGTGAACAGTCAGGTCGCATGCGAGAACTGGGTCGTGCAGTGTGAGCACATCACTCGTGAGATCTGCTCTGCGAGGAAGTCATACAGTTTGAGCTGAAGCTGAGTGCTGCGAGTGAAAAAGTCGCACAGTGTACGCCCGGCTTAATAGGAAAGCTCCAGGTCCAGATGGGTTTCCAGCAGAGTTCTACAAAGAATTCTGGATCATTCTGGCACCAACATTTTTCAGAATAGTGAGGGAAATCGAAGAGAGTGGCAGATTACAGCCAAACATGAATTCAGCCAATATTAGTCTCTTGTTAAAACCAGGCAAAAACCCTACATTTCCTACCAGCTATCGCCCAATTTCTCTTTTTTAATGTTGATCTCAAAATAATGTGTAAAGCCCTGGCAAAAAGATTAGAGAAAGTAACCCCCTTCATAATACACCCTGACCAAACTGTTTCATTGAGGGTAGACAGTCATCCACAAACTCGCGTAGATTACTTAATTTTATAGATTTCTCTTACAGTAGAAACATTGAAACTAGTATATTATCTCTAGATGCAGAAAAGGCTTTTGATAGAGTTAACTGGAAGTTCTTATTTGCAACTTTACATAAATTTGGTTTTGGGAACTTCTTCATAAACTGGCTATAAACATCATGCAGTTCACCAACAGCATGTGTCAGGACAAACGACCAAATATTAGCTAGCTTCTGTCTTCAGAGGGGGACCAGGCAGGGATGCCCACTCTCCTCCTCACTGTTTGCTATTTTTATAGAACCACTAGCGGCAGCAATTAGGCAAACAACAGATATTAAAGGGATAAAGTGTAAGAAAATAGAACATAAGTTCAGTCTTCATGCAGATGATGTTTTACTCTTTCTCCACAATTCTCAATCCTCTCTCTGCCATTTAATAAAACTGATAAACTCTTTTTCAAGAGTTTCAGATAACTCTATAAACTGGTTAAAATCCACAGTTCTACCAATTAATTTCTCTTTTGTCAATTTGCTTAATACACAGTTGGAGTCAGGGAATATCACATACCTGGGAATTAATGTCTCTCCCAAGCTGGCAGATCTAACCAAACTAAACTACATCCCACTTTTAAAGAAAGTGGAAGATGATGGAAAGATGTCTTGCACGATGGAAATCCTTACCGATATCACTCATGGGGAGGGTTGCTACAATTAAAATGATGGTCTTACCCAGAATAAATTACTTATTTTCGATGATCCCAAACCAACCACCAGCTGACTGGTTTAAATCTCTGGACTCCTCAATTACTAAATTCCTTTGGCAGGATAAACCTCCACGAATTAGCTTAAAAATGCTTCAGAAGACCAAAGACAGAGGAGGACTGGATTTACCCAACTTTTATTCTTATTTATTAGCCAACAGGCTGCAATATATACCAAGATGGTTGCAAGATAACCCACTAGATGAGTCCTGGTTAGATATAGAACAGACACTTTGCAATACGATAGAGCTTTCAGACTTACCATTTATTAGCTCAAGCACAAGAAAACATGAAAGCTTCAAAAGTATTAGTATCAGCACCTCTCTGACAGCATGGTGGGAATATCTTAAAATGACAGAGTCTTCACTAGTACCATGCAGACGCACACATATCTGGAATAATCCTGACATTTTGCAAAATAACCAAATGATGAACCTTCCGGACTGGAAAAATAAAGGGATCATGTCCTGTACCTGGAACACATAAATGAAGAATTGGACTTCATCCCATTTAATCGAATTGTCTCCCAATTTGGAATGGATAAGAATGGCTTTTTAGAATATCACCAAATTAAATCTGTAGTGAAACAAAAATTTAAGCTCAATAAAATAGAATTACAAACACCACCAAGGGTATTTGAATTCTATAGTCTGAAACCCCCCAAACTACTGTCTTAAGTTTATAAGACACTGTCCAAAATAGATTATAAAATTGCAATCCCTATTGAAAAATGGAAGGTGGATCTATCAGTCAGCTTTGACCAGAACTTCTGGTCCCAAACTTGTTTAAAAACTTTTTAAATGATCAGACACCCCAATTTACAATTAATTCAGTACAAAATTCTACACAGAGTACACTATACAGGTCATCGGATGTTCAAGATGGGGTTTGTGTCGTCTGACACCTGTAAACACTGCACAAACAACATTCCTGACAATTACATTCATGCACTGTGGTCCTGTCCACCTGTCCAGGAATTTTGGGGTAGAGTATGTGAAGACCTGTCAAAGTCTCTGAATTGTCATATCCCAACCACCCCCTCTCTTTGTTTACTGGGAAACCTGGACGATGTCCTGATTGAAACATCTTTGGCTCACGTGGTTCTGACGGCCATATGCATCGCTTAGAAAACTATCCTCTTGAATTGGAAAAATAGAGAAACTCTCTGCATTAACCAGTATAGAAATCTTTTGTTAGATCATATTACACCTGATTTAGCCTCTGCTTCCACTTCAAAACAATCTCTCTGGGCTCCTTTGATCGGTTCCATCACATAGCGATGATGGGGGGCCATTATTATTGTCCGGTGGGATGATGTGGGTGGGGGGTGGAGGGTCTGAGTTGGAGTATCCGGATGTTCCCTGGAGGTGGGTTCACTAGGGGGTGTCTGGGACTAGGGGGCCATTGCCCCCCCCTGGAGGTGCTTGGGTTGTCTCGGGGGGTGGACTACTGGCGGTTGTAAGTGGGGCCCCTTGTAGGTCTTGGCGGCGGCCATGGGTCACTGCCTGGGAGCTGCATTGCCCCTGGGTGGGTCTGGGTGGGGCCTTGGGGGTCGGGTCCTGACATGTATGCTGCTGGGAAGAAGGCAGGAACATGCAGCAGTGCCTGGCCCGGGTGCAGGGGCCTCAGGTAGACCTTGGCTCCTCTGCTGTCCCATCACAGGGGAGGGGGAGGTCCAGGAGGGGGAGGACCCAATCTTACCTGGATGTCCTATGTCTTATATATTCTGGAAGTTGTGCAAATGCAGGGATGGGCATAGATATTCTGCTGGGGTGGGACTGGGTTGGTGCCCTCGGACTCTGTGAGGCTCTGCAATGCTGATGCTTTGGGCCCTGGCAGGATGGGCTGGGGTCTCCATGCCCTGGGTGGCATTTTGACAACAGAGGTGCCTATTGGGGCCAGTGGGGGAGCTGGCTCCCTGGAGGGCTAAGCCCAACCAGCCATTCCTCCCCATCCCCGCAAATATCTCTCCTCCTGCTCCCTCACATCATCACACAAACATGCATATAGGACCTTAGGGTGTGGACAAGTCAGGGAGTGCGGGTATGGATCCCATTTTCGCATTCCTGTGGCAGCCTGCCCCCCAATTTTATTTGCACCTTACACACTTCCACCGACAACATTCCACGCAAACACACACTAAGGGCCTTGGGAGTGAGCACATTCAACGGCACTTGGCAGGGGGATTTCTCAGCCTCCTCCCGAGTGCTGGTGCCCACTTCCAATTTTAAACTGCACTTAGACACCGAGGGCTGTGGGTGCAAGTGGGGTGGTGCGGTGGCATCAGCTGGCATAGGCCAGACAATGCCCGCACTGCCCGCTCACCACAGCCATGGAATACATCTCATCAACACACAACACTATATTGGCGCAGGCGGAGGGAGACTAGGGGTCCTAGCACACCTCTGTTGTTGCTTGGCTTCCTTGGGCTGGAGGCTAGGAGGGAGATCTGGCCATCTGGTTGGGGTCTGGGGTGGTGGGTTGCTGTACTCAGCATTGGGCTGGGAAGCCTGCTCATCAGCACCCCAGCAGAAAGGGTCAAACTCTGGTAACCGGTAATGGTTGTACCCAATGTGCAGCAGTACCGGGACCAGAGTGGATAGGGTGTGCATGGGGAGCATGAGTGAGTGTCCGGTGTGCATTTTTGTAAGTCTTTTGTTGTATGTGCATGTGTGAGCATGAGGGAGGGAGTGTGTGACTGTGTTTGTGTATGACTGTATATGTCAGGTGGGGCATCTCCAGATATGTACTTGTAAAAATTTTCATTTGGAAACAAACTTACTTTGCATAAACAATTTGGACAACACTTCAGCTCATTGGAACAGCTGCTGTCACCTCGGCAGTGATCAAAACAACGGAGGGAAAACAGAACAATGGGACAGCTTCCTGGTTTCACTGAAACACAAACACCAAATCATGTTGTACCCCGTGCAGCAGAATGTGGAATTATCAATGTTTTCATATCTTACCCAGTTCATGTGACAAGCAAACGTGTCCACATCCGTTGTCGCAGCATTTTTCACCAAATGGACAATCACTGTCAGAAGAGCACATTTCACCACAAATGGGCATTACTCCTGGAATGATTGGACACCGTGGTGTTGCTGATGGAAAAAAGAAAGCTATAAATGCTGAAATTGCTCTGAGTTAGAAAACTATGTAAATTTGAAGCTGATATTGTTTAGGAAAGTAAATATTCTCAAAGATCCTGTTTACTAAAATGTTTTGTAACAGCTATTTGAGAAGGCATAGGCGCTTCTTACTTGGAACAGGAGACACACAGGTACGTTGATGGTTAAACAAACAGCATTTTTCATCTTCAGGACAGTCATTGTCAAAGTCGCAAGGTAGTAGTGGTGGCAGTGGCAGTGGCCTCATGGTAGGCACATCTTTGGGACAGTTACCTGGTAGAGAAGGATTAGGTTAATGTAAGTGGACGGCTACCAGCATGGTTAAATAAACAAAAACCACAAACAAAAGTGTGCAAATCACCAGGTTTGGGCATGATGACAAAACAACACAAAACCCTAAAATCAGGACAGCTATTGTAGACCAGTGTGTCCTCATGTTGTCTTATCTCAATCAGGGATCTGGGTCTGTTGTCTGGGTTGGAAAAATATCCTGCTTTATAAATTGCAACCTGAGCAGCCCAGATGATTCTGGGTCCTTGTGTCTGTAGAGTTACTTATGTGAACAAACCAATTACATACTTTGTGAGGTCAATTGAAACTCAAATGTGTTATGAAAACAATTTTTCTATAAAAAATGAAATTATAAATGAACTCTCAAACTACGAAAGATTATTTTGGATTCTTACCAACTTGCTGATAAACAAAACATCTTGCTGTTTCACCTTTTGTCTAAATCTAAAGAAAATATCGCAGCATCTCAAAAACATGAATTGTTTTTAAAATAATTTTAGACCAGGCAAGGCAGCTTTATTTGTATAGCACATTTGATACACAGAAGCAATGCAATGTGCTTTCCAGGAGCAACAACAGCAAGAACATAAAACATCAAAATAATGTGACAACACCAATCAGCAGATTTATAAATCTAATTTAAAACACAAATTATATTAAATGCCAGAAAGTTAAAGACTGAGCAGTTACGGTGCAGAAGGTGCAACATATGAAACATTCATTAAAATGCTAATGAATACATGCATGTTTTCAATTTTAATTAATAAGTTATAGAGTTAGGACACATTTGAGGTCATAAGGAAGCTGATTCCATCTGTGTGCAGCATAGTAGCTAAAAGCAGCTTCACCGTTTGGTTCTACTGGCTGACTGCTTCTTAAGGATCTCAGAGCCCTGCTGAGCATATGTACTCAGTGCTTGAAATGGAAAATAAGTGCAGTACTCTCCAAAGAAAAATATCGAGAAGTGTTTTTTTTTTCTTTGAGGCACTCCCCATTATAAAATGACTGTATTATGAAAATCCATTTAGGCACAGATGTAACAAACAGCCTCTTTCAACAATGGAAGAAGCCTTTTGATGCACCAATCTTCTTTTTCTGGATACTAAGTCATCAATGAGGTCGTCTGATGCTGTGAAGCTTCTGAGTTGAGCTGAGCTGAGTTCATGATAGCCAGACCACTCATGTGATATATATATATATATATATATATACACACACACACACACACACACACACACACACACACACACACACACACACACACACACACACACACACACACACACACACACGCGCGCACACACAAACTGGAGGAGTGGCTAAAGCAGATCCCAGCAAAAACATTAATCTTAGCCCAGAAAAGTGCAGTTCTAGGAACAGCTAAGGTACTGAGCGGAACCCTGAAGCTCCCAGGCCAGAGATTGGAAGGATGAGACCACCTGCAGAGGGTGATGTGGATTGTTTTCTTTTACATACCAATATTGACAGATGACCTGCACTTGTATAGTGCCTTTCAAAGTCGAAGGACTCCAACGCGGACTACAGTGTATCATTCATCTATTCATGCATTCAAACACTAGTGGTGATGAGCCTGGACTAGGATAAAAATTCAGCCCTGGAATTACTCCATCCCGTCGGCCCTCAGAGCAGTGGTGCTGGTATGTGAGATTGATCATCTGGCATACTTGGCACTTCATCTCCAGGACAGTCTCTGTCAAAATTGCATAATGCTTACAGAAGTGGTGGTGGGGGTGTTGACATGAGGGTAATCAGACCTCTAGGACAGTTATCTTGTTTTAGAGGAGGGTTGGTTAATGAGCAATCCATCAAAGGAGATGCAAATACATAATTTTTTAAAGTAAACTCAAGTACCTCTTTCTGCCAGTGGCGTGTCCAGATCTTTTAAAATGGGATGGCCCAGGTGGGGCACAACTTTGTGCATGGGTGGCACCAATGGTTATGCTTTTTTTGTTTTACCCTACCCCCACGCCTTTTTGTGGACAATAAAAAGCCTTTTTAAAGGTAAATTAGTGTGTTGGCACCTGGGGTGGCCAATCAAATTCCAAGGGTGGCATGTGCTACCCCAGGCCACTCCCTGCACACACCCCTGCTTTCTGCTCTTGAGTCAAAGAAAAGCCCAAGTCAAAATAGTTCACAGTTGATAAAGCAGTTTCATACAAGCCATCGCCATCTTTGTATCAGTAACATTCCACCCACCAACAGAATGCTGCGATTGGCCAACCAAAACAATAAAGTGCTGTGATTGGATCGCTACGGAGCTGTGGCCATGGTTTTGCTCAGTTGCAATAACTTCCCACCCATCTGGCTGACATATTGCTGTATTCGAACGCTATGGATTTCAGTCAACAGGGGCTGTCTGCCATTTCATTGTGAAAGAACTACATAAAACCCAGACTTCCTTCGCCCGATCCAGTTGGGCAGGGGATACCCAAGGAGTTCCTTGGCCAGCTGAGAGACATAGTCCCTCCAGCGTGTTCTGGGTCTTCTTTTAAGTCTTCTCCCAGTTGGACGTACCCAGAAATCCTTACCAGAGAGGCATCCAGAAGTAGGGTGACCAGATCCCAACTTGCCAAATGTCGGACAGAGATTCTCAATGTGGGACAACGTGAATTTCCAATGTAATGAGAAAAAATAAATAAAAACGTATATTCTGCCTTTTAGCCCTAACATCACTGTTAAATATACATAAAATGAATATTCTTATTATCATTATTTATTTCTTGTATTTATTTTATTTGAATTCAACATGAACAAGCATACAGCAAAAGCTTTACTATTTCACAGTTCCTCTCAAGTTACCACAACATAACTCTGTAGTGGCTCTGATCTTTTCAATAATATAGATAGGCCCACAATAAAAATAAAAAAAATGCAGGTTTAAGCAGCTTTGCAGAGTTTTCATTGAATGCTTTCCACAACAGAATGTTGTAAAATTACCAGTAATAGTTTTTAGATCAAATTATGTTTGTTTTTAATTATTTTTCCACTAAAATCAGCATCTCATTGAAAAAAAAAATCCACTTTTTTGCTAATTTTTCTTAATTCAGAAACAAAACGATTTTTTAAAACCTGACAACAATCTCTTCTAATCTTAGGTGAGAGAATAAACATCAGATTCTAATCTCTAAAAAATTCAGATCTAATCTAATAATAGAGTTTCTTAGAGTTATTTCTTGCCTCAAATTTCTGAGAATAAGTGATGAAAGCTTCCATTTATTCTCTCATTATTTCTTCACTGTGCTTTAAGGGGCTCAGCATGTACACAGGTATCTGAAACCGCCTGTTTTAGAGCCTCCATTGTGTTTATTATGGACCTGTCTAATTACTGGAAAACCTGCTTTTGACCTCTTCATATTAGACTTTGCTCCGAGACATGAAAATTGACTCAGAAACAACAAATACTCTGTCGAGTATCTCTGAACATGTTTAATTCACGAGTTTACAGCATTTTCTCCTCCGTGCTCACGCACTCTTGATTTGGTGGTTTGGGTGCAATCCACACACTCTCCAGATCTGCATTAAAGTCCCGCCTCCGTTTGACTGACAGCAACAGGCAGATTTTTCCTCAGTTTCTTTTATGAGATTGAAACTCAAAACGGGAAACTGTCAATAATGCGGGGCATGAGTCTTGATTTTTGGGACACGTGAAAAGTAATGAAAATGCGGGACATCTGCTCACCCTGTCCAGGAGGCAGCCTAATGGGCTCGACACACGGGAGGCGACATCGCCTCTCCTCCATTCATTTTCAATGACACATGCGCGACAAAGCGATAATCGCGGGTCTCCCTCCTACCAAGCGAAATGCGAAAAACGTGCGTGTGAAATTTTGCGCTCGTGCACGTGTCGTGCACAGGCGACCCAGCGACCCGATCTCAAAAAGTTGAAACATATTCAACTTTTCATCGCTGTCGCTCGGACGAGGACCAACCAACGGAGGTTTCATTCACTGACCAATGAGCGGACAGGATGCTCCGTACACCTCCGAGCAAACATGGAGGAGAAGTTGATTTTTATTATGTTTTATGTAGTAAAATCAGAAGTAAGATTTCACATAACTCTAGCAGCACCTTGTGAAACATCATATCTACCGCTTTATTAACTCTGAACCGCTTAAATAACCTTAATTACCTCCAACGTGACACAGCCAAGCAAAACAACAGAAGTTTCGATTTTGCCATGGAACAGAACGCGTAGACGGCTTTGCCGCTGGCTGGTGCTGCGGATAGCCTCCTGTGTGTCAGGTAATAAAAGCGGTCGTTTGTCGCCTCCCGTGTGTCGAGCCCATAACTAGTTGCCAGAGCCACTTTAACTGGCCTCTCTCAATATAGAGGAGCAGCAGATCTACTCTATGCCCCTCCCAAATGGCCAAGCTACTCACCCTATCGCTAAGGGAGAGCCCAGCCACCCTGCGGAGAAAACTCATTTCAGCCACTTGTATCCATAATCTCATTCTTTTGGTCACTACCCAGAGGAAGTATTCCTAATACTTACAATACAGTACCAGGAATATGCAAAGTATTGAAATACATTACAAAATACATTTTAAAGCAGGCATTCAGTGTTCTGTAACTAAATCCATTTACAAAATATTCTCCCCAACACTGATTGTAAATACCAGTGTTATGGACCTGGAGGTTTCTGCTCTCCACCAGGTGACTCCTGCTGCAGGCCTCAGTTCCTGCAGTCCTGCCATACAGCACCAGAGGCCAGCGGAGTGATATGGAGCAGCTGCACCAAATCAGCAATCAGCTGCTCCTGAAGCCTTTTAAGCCTCCTCACTCAATGATTCAGGGGACACAGTGACAGAGGAGACACAGTGATAGAGCTGACTGTGATGTCTTAGAGACTCCGTTTTAGTAATATCACTGTTATCTCCAGTACTGGGGTTTAAGGTTGAATATTTAGTGCCCCTGTTTGGCTAAGGTTAAGTTGTGCCTTTTGCCACCCGTTTGTGAATCTCCAATCCTCAGTTTAGTTTGTCTTTGTGTTTTGCCTTTGAGGATTTTAGTTGGGGAGATTTCTAGCTTCCTAGTTTTGATAATTGTGGATTTTCTTTTGGTTTTGGCAGTTGACTAGGTTTATTCTTTTAGTAACACATTTGTGGTTGATTTAGTTTAGAATAGGTGTGCTTCCCTTTTGGGCTCCTCTCTCGGGTTAAACCAAATTGAGTCACTTTAAGTTGGTTATTTTTTTTTTGCCTTCTCCCTGTTTTAGCAGAGGGAGTTTATTTAGTTTAATTATTATAATACCCTTCATCCAACATTTTGTAAAGAAACCTTTTGAACTGCTATTTGCTAACCTCCTTCCATTCATTCATCACCATTATAACCAGACACTATCCCTTTGTATTCATTCCCTTTTATTTTACATTATTTTATTTTTCTCTGTGTTCTCCCCTCGCCACTCCTAGACACCAGAGGGGACGTAACAACCAGTCAGTACAGGCCTTCTGACACCAACTTGCAAGAAGGGGTCTTGTGGTGAAGTAATGGCTAAAAGTACTTAAAATCACACAAATATTAATTAAAAAAAAGAGAGAATAAAATGAAAAATACAAAAAGTGCTGACGCAAATATACTTTTTAAAGTTAAGGGTTAGGGTCAAAGTTTTTTGATTGAAAATAGATTAACATTTACATTTTTCCAAAATAACCATTTCTGTAATGCTACATTCTGACTTTATCACAATTGTGAAGCATTAAAAATCAACAAATTAGCATCACTGCCCATCTCTAAAAAGTTAATAATCACAAACTTCATAATTTAGAAGATAATCTGCTAAAACTACAACAGAAACATGTGAAAGATATGAAAGACGAGATTAGATCTGAAATTTACCAGCTGAAAAAAGAAATAAATGATTTTAATTCACTTCATGTGCAAGGAAAACTAATTCTTACTCAACACCAATGCTATGAGGGTAGGTCCTTAAAACTTCTCTCACACAAACTGAAAAAACAACAAGCTGATAGAACAATTCATAAAATCAGAACCCCCCTGAACACTAGAATCGAATGCGATCAGGACAAAATTAAAAAGTGTTTCCAAAATTATTACTCAATGCTACACTTCCAACCAGACGTGGACAAAGATCAGGACATAGCTATTTTTCTCTAACAACTAAATCTACCAACACTAACGGATGAGCAAAATAATAAACTTCGTTCTCCAATTACTAAAGAGGAAATTCATATAGCAATTCAGAAGTCAAAGAAGGGAAAGATGGCAGGAGAAGATGGTTTTGGCCCTGAATGGTATCAAATGATGGAGAGTTGTTTTAATCCCAAAATTAGTGAAGACATTTAATTGGGTGACGCAGGAAAATATAGTTCCACCCTCATGGAACGAAGCAGTTATTTCTATAATCCCCAAAGAAGGAAAGGACAAGCTAGAATGTGGCAGTTACCGCCCAATTAGTGTCTTAAATACAGATTACAAATTGTTTACATCTATTTTAACAAGAAGACTTTAATCAACTTTACCAAATCTGATACACAAAGACCAAACAGGATTTATCAAACAAAGACAGACCCAAGACAACATAAGGAGAGTATTACAAGTAATGCAAGATGTAGTGCGGGACAAACAAGAGGAGGTGGTGTTGAGTCTAGACGCAGAAAAGGTGTTTGACTCCGTGAGGTGGGGCTTCTTATTTAAAGTCCTTAAGAAATTTGGGTTCCATCATTCGATGATAGAAATAATTGCAGAAATATATAAAAACCCAACCGCCAGGATTAAGATTAACGGGGACCTCACGGAGTCAATATCACTAAAGAGAGGAGTGAGACAAGGATGCAGTTGGTCTCAACTTTGTTTTGCTTTATATGTTGAACCACTTGGTCAATGGATCAGGGAAAGACAAGATATCCTGGGAGTAAAAGTTGCGGGACAAGAACAAAAACGCTCTTTTTGCCGACGACT